CATGAGCAAAAGCATGAAAAAGAGATGGGAAATTGGGACTTGGGCTGGGAAACCAGATTGGGAGAGAATCAACACCTCTCTAATCTGTTGAATTGTATCTTTCTTTCTTTCCATTTTCTGTCTTCGTAGCTGATAGGAAAACCTCCATTGTAGTAGCTTGAGTCTTTGTTATTTTCATTACAATTGCTTGTAATTTCAGCTTATCAATATGCAGGAAATCCAGAAGGTGTTCCTTCTGGGCCAAAATACTCTGTTCTTAGTAGTTATTTTGCTTCATCTCTGATCCAGTTCTATCAGTATACCATTGGTGAGTGGCAAGAGAATAACAACGATATCCCTTTTGCAACCTTCAATAGCCAAGGAATACACATTTAATAGTATGATGAGATAACTTATCTCGGCCTGGAGAAAGATCATGGACAAAACAAGTACACCTAAACAACTGAGGAGGAACAAAATATAAGAGACCTTCGGGAACTAACAATGAATGAGGAACGTGATTATTAATAGTAGATGAGGGCATACAATTGATCAAACAACAGTGTCAATAATATGGCAATTTTTCCTTTCGTCCATTTCATTTTGTTGGCGAATGTGCGCGACACATCGATTGATGTAAAATACCATGAGAAGAATGGAAAAATATTTGTTGACATTATTGCTGCATATAATCTTAATGTACTTTCTATATTAATTCTGAATTTCAGTAATGGAAGATTGGAATAAGGAAAATAACACAAACATTTTTTCCATTAAGAATAATCTTGTACATCGTGAAAAGTCATCAATAAAGATAGGGAAATACTTTAATACCAGAGGGTGTGATGACACGATTTGGCCCCCATAAATAAGAATGAATAACATGAATACTAGACTCTATTCGATTCGACTGAATTGGGAAAGGAAGCCTGAGCATGCTTCCCAAGTTAACATGACTCATAATTAAAAGATTTGCAACCATTTGTTAAAGCTTTGATAGATTGGGATGATTGAGATGCCGATGGAGGAATTTTGGAGATTCAGCAGCAGCACACACCACCGTAGGGGTTGACTTAGATAGTAAAGTCCATGTGATTCACATCCTATGCCAATCTTTTGTCCTTTACCACGGTCCTAGATGACAAAAGAATGAAAATTATAGGTTGGCAAATAGCTATGGAATCTCATAAGTCGACTTAAGGAAATCAAATGAAAAGGACATCCAAGTATAAATAAGACTAATCTTAATGATATGGATGCAATGGGTGAAATATGACCGATACCTTGGGCAGACACTTCAAAATCATCAACTAGGTTGAAAACAATGAGAAAAATCAAATGGAGTGTAAAGAACCTTGGGATACACCACCCCAAAAGCTAGCTCAAAGGGTGGGAGTGCCCAAGGCCTTATAAACTCCACATTAGTTGCACATACAACCAATGTGGGACTATATATCTCAACACGCCCCCTCACACGAGAGCCCATTGGGCTTGAAGCGTGGACAATGCAACAGGCCCAGCCTACCTGTGTTAAGAAACTCCACAAGAGAAAGTGGGGGACGACGAGGCTCTGATACCATGTAAAGAACCTTGGGATACATCACCCCAAAAGGAAAAAAATGACCAATTACCAGCCACATGGTCAGAGGCACCTGAATCAAGAATCCAATGTGTTGAGTTATTATCGGTATGGGAAATACAAATAAATTACTCATATGAGCGAGCGTGGTAGTAGAAGATTGAGTTTTCTTGGCTGCCTTCATCGACCAATTCTCTTCAAACTGTTACTGAAAAAGTAAAAGGTGATTTGTCCGAGATAACTTAATATCTCCTTTCTTCTTCTCGACCAATGTCAAATTGAGTGACATTGACAATTTTCTCGAGAAACCTGTGAATGGAATAAAAAGTCTCGAGTGTGGCTTGATCATTTATAATGATTACTTTAGAGAGTGCATGACGTGTGAGACCAATACCACATACAAGTTATCCACAATTTATTTAATAAACCCTCAAGATGGTAACATCTTCGACTTTTCTATTGCAGCTTGTGCCTCAGCAATAAAACCATTCATGTCATGATCTGGTCGTCGAAGGGAGGCCAATTTTTTGGGATAAATTATACAAGTGCTGAATGTCATTAGACTGCAAGCCTTGTTCCAAAATATGAAACATGTCTTAAAATCTTGAAATTGATTAAATTGGTTCCACAAACTGCCATAAAAGAGCATATAATTGATAATAGAACTTCTCTCATTGACTTTGATCTTCTAACGGAGGCTGATTGACCCTTTTGCCATTGTTTTTAAAAAATTTACCACTTTGCTCCTTTTCGAAAACTAAATATCAATCTGTTACTGTTTAACCACGTTGCCCTTATTTACTCGAGTAACTGGGCTAGTTACTCGAGTAAAATGACTTACTCAACTAACTAAAGCCAGTTACTCAAGTAAATAAGGGCAATGAGCAACTCAACAACTCAAATTTGGATCCACAAATATCTTTGAGTCAAACCAAGTTCTAATGTCTTTTACATGTATTAATGGAATTGGGGTGGGTGTTTGTGAGTCCAAAATTGAGGATAGTCCCCATTCAATTATTTAAACCCTAAAATGATGTAAACTTCGAAAGAGCATAAATTTTGGCTTGGTTTTCCAAACCGGGTGTTCTTTTTTTGATTTCGCGTAACTTTTCGAGATCTACGCAATGACAAATATCCAGAGGGGATTTGGTCAAAAAATTTTCCAAAAAAATGCTTCCTTCGTGGGTTTCAGGAATGACAAAGTAAATGGACATAAATCTTTAAAAGCAATGCCTCATGAACATAATTATGTACATAAAACTTAGTTTATTAAATTTAGTTTAGGGTATAAAGAGCTTGAATGGAGATTGTTCTCAATTGTTTTGAACCCTCGAACCCATATATGAAGTCCAAATATGTGGGGACTGCCCTCAATTGTAAAAGACCCACAAACACTCATCCTTTGTCCATTTATACATGGACAAGACATTAGAACTTGGGTTGAATAAAAAATATTCATGGATCCAAATTTGAGTTGCTCATTTGCCTGTGTTACTCGAGTAAGTCGCAGTCAATGTGGTTAAACAAGTCAAATTGGTATATAGTTTTGATAAAAGGTTAAAATTAATACATAGTTTAAAAAAAGGGGCAAAGTGGTAAATTTTTTTAAATATAGGAGCAGAATGGTCAATTACCCTCTAAGTGAATTTTAGACATCAACTTCTCAAGATGATTAGAGGGGTCCTTGACCGAGAAAACAAAGCTCAAAGGAGGTTGACCAAGCTAGATAATTCTTATCATTAAACTTTTCTTAGGTGATTGCAAGAGTACTAGAGAAGGCATAAGTAACGGGAACATTACAAGATAGATTTATTACGTCGGACAAATGAGGACGACCTTCTGAATCAAATGAACTACTTGGACTTAGGCCATAGTTGCTCAAAGGGATCGATGAGAAGACGTTGGCACTGATGACTGGTGGCACATGGCTAGACACTTGCATGCAGCAAGAGGGGTGCATGAACAGTACTCAACCAAGGTGGATATCAACAACCAACCACCAAGATGGAATATAATTGGATTTCTAACCACCAAGGCAGGATGAAGGGTCATTGGCGAGCAGCACATTATCAACAATTTGAGGAGTTGACGCCAGGAAGGTTACATGTGGACTTCACTCATAAGGTTGTGTGTGGCAGGGTCTTTGTTGATGGTGCTTGGAAAGATGGTTGTTGATGGTTTTTGGGTGGAACTGGACCTTCACGACGAGTTGGATGCTAGCCTTAGACGATGGATAGGAAGACGACAATTGTGTTCGGGGTTTAGACGGATCGTGTTTTGGGTTCCAATGTTAGGCCATGCTGAAGAGAAATTTGTGAATTTTTTGAGGAAATCCTCATCAAAAGATTCTATTTATGCATGATTTACAATTTCTAATTTTAGAAATCTAGGAAAATAAGGAATCTAGAAAACTAGGAAATTAAAGAAAATAATACAAATTAAATTTTAATTATTTACAATACATACAGTCCCTAAGTAGGAGATTTATGGAGATACTTTCCAGCACACATATTCCCCCTTCACCCCACCTTTTCTTTAATATTAGGCAAAAGGAAAGGAGGTGTATAGAAACAAGATACCCTATAAATTGACTGTGGATAATGAATATGTTCTAACACTCTTTTACATCTGATTGATATCCAAATTTCAATAATAAATTTTGAGCACTCAATTGTGAATTGCAGCAATATAGTGTTGCTATGTTGTGTTGCAGCCGGTCTGTTGTAGCATTGTATTTCGCTATTGCAGCCAAATGATGGCTGTGCCCTCTGTTCTGGCCAATTCCCGGTAACCCAAATTTTTTTAAGCCACTACCGCTCTTTTACCAGCTATGTACTGCTGTGGTTGTTCAGCTCTGTTTTGGTGGCAGCTTCAAGCCTTTTCCCTTTCACAGAGCTCACGTGACTAGATCTGGACTTTTTTTTTTCTTTATAAACTTTTTTTTTCCCAAGTAACTGATCCAGACTGAAAATACATCAGTGACCTTTTCTTTTGGTCATTGACATGACATCCATTTCTTTTGCTAAGTGACATCCCTGTCCTACTTTAGTAATAGCTCTTTTTTAATTTGCTTATTTGGTTATGTTTTTAATACTTGTTATTCGTAATTTAAGTTGTTCATAACACATTCACAAATATGAATGATGATTTTTTTTTCTTAATTGAATATTGAATTCATGGCAAAGATTTAAAACTATAAGGATTATTAATTGAGTATTAATGATGAATGGCGTAATCTTAAGTGTTTTTTCAATTTTGAGCTTTTACATGTGTGTATTGCAAATTAGTTATATTGTATCAACAATCTTCGGTTCAGCTGACACTTTGCGATCTGCTATACTGCTGTAATGTTGTTGGGGTTGGCCACTCTGCACTGCTATTTCCTGATATGACAACATTAATGTTCCTGTTTTTACTTTTATTGGGTGTATGTTTTCTATAGATCTATCGGAGATGAAAACCTTTGCAAGGAAATATTTGAGGATTACATCACACAACTGAAAGAAGAGGCAAAAGAGAGTGAGCGGCAACGAAAAGAGGAAAGGGTACAAATTCTGCTCATTGCATCTATGTTTGAGATTTATCTGCTCATTGCATCTATATTTGAGATTTATGCGAGTCATTCATTATCTCTCTTACACACAAATATCAAACTATCTTTATATAAAGCGCAAATCCCTCTGACAATTAAAGGGGAAAAAAGGAATGTGAATTTTGTGTATAAATCAGTCAGCTTGTTGATTGCTGTATGACTGCAAATATCAATTATCAACTTATCATAATTGTCACTCATGATACTATTTGCTACATTAATACCACTTTATGCATTTCTTGTTCTATCCAGACATTTTGCTAATTGTATTATCAATCATACATGAAAGCATGTTCTTGTGCTTAATTTTTGCTGTTTGTTTTTTCTTTTAAGGTGTAAAGTACTACTATTAATGCATGCTTGTTATTATATTTTTGGATATATCCACCGGTTCGTTAATTACCCAATTATTCACTGTCTGATCCATTATAGGGGGTGGCTCTCCCAATCATTAAGAAGGGATATAAATGAATTTTCCGAGTAAATACAAATTGCGGAATTCCTAGTAAAACAATTTTCAAATATTTCAAACCCTCACTAGTAGTACTTTATTTTCATGACTGGGAATCTATTTTCATTGTCAGGAATGGAATAGTTTTGAGACCTGGATAACAATATGTCTAACCGATAGGGAATAGAAAAAGGCTTGACTAGGTATCTATGAAGTTCTGAAATATAATTTTCTGCAGGCAAAGAAGGAAAAAGATAGGGAGGAAAGAGAAAGAAGAAAAATGAAGCAAAGAAGGGAAAAAGAGGGAGGGCGTGAAAGAGGGAAAGAGGATGCACATAAGAAGGATAAAACAGACAGTGACAGTGTGGACTTGACTGAGATCCAACCCTCCAAGGAAAAGAAAGATGATAACAGAAAACAACGGAAGCAGCATCAAAGTCCTGATGAAATGGATAGAGAGAGGACTAAGAAATCTCATGGTCACAGCAGCGACCGCAAGAAATCAAGACGTGTACGCTAATTTATTACTTGGTTGTTTTACAAATGTTTATGTTCTTTTGTTTTTCTGGTATCGTTTGTTGTTCTCTGATTGTCCTTTTTTTTGGGATATGTGGAGCAGCATGCTGGTCATGAATCAGATGAAGGCCGGCACAAAAGACACAAGAGAGACCACCGCGGTGATTATGGAGATCTTGAAGATGGGGAATTTGGTGATAATGTGGATAGATGGTAGTCATGTTATTCTATTCGAACCCCTGTGGTGATTACCTTGTTATGCTCAACATGTATTATGTTTTTCAAATATTATCAAAATATAAATTTTCAAGAGAACTTCCTGGTAGGGGTATGGGCACTTTGATGCTTCTTATCCGATCTAATTTTGGCCCATAAGTAGCATCATTATAATTGAACAGTCTCAGAGTAGTGTTTTGAGAGCCATACTATACTGAATGGGATTCGAGTTACTTGCTATGGTTCTTGAGATGTCACTGATTTCCTGTAACTAGTTCTATTATCTAATTGATTTCTACCATCATTACTGTTTCTCTTTCTTTGACCAAACCTGTTTTGTTACCACAATAAGTGGTATCTATATCTCGTTCATAATGATAATGAGCTGCAATCATAGGTATTGGATAACAAGGGCTAAAGTAAAATCATCACGAGGTTTCGTAGTAATGGTTTGCCATGAGTTCTACTTTTGTCCTATTATCATTTACAGTTATGCGGCCTGAGATCGAAACACAACACAGCGAGGAATTTTGTAACAGCGCAGGAGGGAATTTAGAACTGACACGAAATTGTCATATTCAAGAAATCAAACTATCACTCATGCTAAGGTGTAGCAGGTACTTGTGCTGTTTTATCTGATGTTAGTAGATATTTGAAACAACCTGCAGTTGTTCCTTTAACTTCCCCACCCCACTACCTTTGTTAAATTTATCACAATTATTGCTAAGTTAACTTTTCAACATTAAATTTTATTTGGGAAAGCAATTTGGCATTAAACTATAGACTATAGATAGTGCGATACCGTCAAGCCTTGTTTTATTGTTTTTTTTATTTTCTTGGTCAATGCAAAGCATGAACTAAGAAGTCATTATTTCACACAGAAAAGCAAAAAATAACGAATATTACTTGGTACTTTTAGCATGATAGGGCCAAGTAATCGCTGCCCTTATTCCTTTTATGTGCCTTGCTTGTTTCTCCCTTTCTTCCCCTTTGACCCCTTCTTTTTCTTATTCATCTTTGCCCTTTTTTCATTAACCTTGGTGGTAAGAATTTATTGGCATGAGGTATTTTCTGGGATAAACTAAGATAACAAATATATTTTAAATACATGCTTTTACCCATACATGTTTTAAATAACACTCATGCTTTTTTGGTGAAAATAACAAACATATTTTAAATACATATTTTGTGGGATCAAGATCTTATCTTCAATACCTTTTTTAAAAAAAATAAAAAATAAAATTGTTTTCCCATTTTTTTTTCCTGATATGATCTCATTATGGCAACTAACCGGACCTCCCTTTACTCAATCCTTACCAATTTGGTGCCGTATAACCACATCAATATATATGCAACCACTGAGATGCTTCGCTCATATTGAAAGAGACAGTAAGCAATGACAACGTGGTTCAATCTGATCCTTTTCTCTTCTCCTCTTAAAGGTTAAGGAGCCAACATCATCATCCATCACTAACAGGTCACGTACACCACCACCTGATAGCTTCTAGCCTTCTATAAAAGAGGTGTTACAAGTCATTTCGAACTGTTCTAGAAAGCCAAAATTAAATTGCCATCTCAGATTATTCCAGCCTACCACAAAGAGGTGTTACGGGCAAGAAATGCCATCTAAGATTTTGGGCTATCGCATAATTTTCTGGGTTTTAGATGTGGACACCACTAGCTTCTGACTCGTGATTTCTAACATTGTATATCACCTTAATGACTTAATAATGTATGTGAAAATCTGTCTCAAAAGTCCAATTATAGGTCTTTATGTTAAAGCTTCATGTAAAAGCTACCTCGGTACAATAATATTAAGATTCAATGACGCGGTATATGCATAAAGTATTTCTCCTACTATATACAATAAACATTTTCTTAGGAAAATTATTTTCTCCTACTAATAATTCTTTGATTTTTCTGCAACAATTTCTTTTATTTCTTTAATAGATGTGGGTTCATACAAGACATGTCTATAGTATGAGATTTTTTTTTTTTACTATATGGGAAAATTAAAACCCTAATTAATAATAGGTTAAGTGAATTCTATATAAATAGAAGGAACCATAAATAATTAAATATAATGTTTTTATATTTTAAATTGAAGCATGCGAGTGTATTTTTTTATCCATGATCCAAAAACAGGGCAGTTTAGATGTACGATAACAAAAACATTGACGGCGTGGGAGATGACTGCGACACTTAACGGTCAAAACTACATGTTTATATTTAGGATAAAATAGCTTAGTTTATCTAGAAGAACTAAATACTTAATATTTTGAGGAACTTCACAAAATCTTATTAGAATAATCTCAGCCTAGTCATTTGGGCAAAGTTGTTGAACTCATGCAAGAATATTTGGGTTGCTGCTTGTCTCTTTTGTCCTAAACAAGGTTCATAATCTTTGAATAGTAATAAATAAAAAAACATAGCCAACCTTAAGATCAATTGTAAACTAAGAAACGTCAAAACTTAAAAACGTAAAAAATCTATAGAGCATGTTTGATTGTATTTCGATTTTTATATTATTAAAATTATTTCGTAGAATAGTTAATGAAATATGTGTTTTTATATGTTTTGAAAAATAAAAGTTAAAAATTAAAACACAAAATAAAAACAACTCATACATGTTCTTTAAATTTTATTCTAAAAATTAAAAAATAGTTATAAATTTTAGAATTACTTTTTTTATTAAAAAACAGGCCTTATTGAACAATTTTTTTTAATTTTGTTTTGAAAATCAAAAAACTATTTTCGAATACAATAATCAAAGAGGTCCTATAATTTTAAGTTTTGCTCTGTCTATCCCTCCCACAAAAGTTATTATTCACTTTGGAAACCAAAGTGACTTTCGGTCCATTTTGTTGGTTATATGCCAAACAAGTTGGAAACTTTACAGCTGATGCGCAAAGCTTCATCGTGCAAGGCTCCGCTGTATTTGATATAACCAATCGAATTGTGAAAAATGGTACTCAACATTCTTGAGATGGATAAATAAAAATAATATCCAAATTTATATTTAACAAAATCAATATATACATTAGTTCATAGTATGAAATAAAAAGAAATACATCTGCTAATAAAGACTAAAAGACTCCTGTCTGCAACTGCAAGAAGTGAAAAACAGGTGACTACACTAAATGTAAAAAAGTAGCATACGAAAACCATTGCTTATTATATATAAAGTAGCATACGAAAAACCATTGCTTATTACAAAAAGTAGCATACGAAAACCAGCTATGAATCTCATGGTTTTTGCTTCTGTGTGTAGATATAGTCCGTGTGAGCTACAAGTGTTCTTCTCATCAAGCATTCTTCTTCACCAATGCCTTCACAATTTTCCTCTTCCAAAACCTTCAAGCACATAAGAGTATAAGATTCATAATTGTACAATACAATATAGAATATGTGATGTAATTGCCGTAGTTATGCAAAGAATAAGATATGATATGTATTAAACTTAAACTAACTCACCCCATGTTGAGTTTTGCTTGAAATGACAGGGGAAGAAGCAGGGTCACGTCTTCCAGCATATGTGAAGGTTAAGAAGAGGAAGAAGAAGAGGAGTGCCAAGCAAAGGGTGGCACTGAACTTAGACGACATTTTCATTCTCTGCTTTCTAAAACTGCCTACTGCTAATTACTATGCGGCTGCGGCACACCTACAATACAATTGGACTCTTAGGATCAATTTATATAGACAGTGTGGAGTTATAAAGGGCATGAATGGAACTTTATTTTTTGGATTCTTTTTTTTTTTTTTTTTTTTTTTTATGGAAACTTTTTGGATTCTTAATAGTAAATTACAGAAGACAAAGGATGTATAAAAAAAGTCTTCCTAAAAATCAATCTATAACAGCGAAATTAAAGTATCAAAATTTGAATTATTTGTTGTAAGAATGTTATTCTTCTAATCATCTCCTAATCAATTTAAGCTTGAATAATATAAAAACGTACTTTATAAATAGTTTATATTATATGTTTAATAAGTTAGTTTTTTAATATAATATTAGATAATAGGATAGTTTAATCAATGAACAAATAGGGTTTTTTTTTTAAAAGATTAAAAAAAAGGGAATGCATCTGATCGATTGATTGTGGATTGGCCTGACTTATTGCTTGGTACAGTATTTGACATTAGTGCATTCAATTCTGATCGAAGTCAATAGTTATGATCAACATTGCCATCCCAATGATTTCGGAATATATTTATTTAATAAAATCTGTAATTTATAATTTTATCAATCTAATAAATGTATTTTTAAAATGGATTTTTTTTCTTCATAAATTTACAAAAATTGATCAATAATTTCACATACTAGCTATATTGTATTGTGAGATTTAAAAATAAATAAATTTATCTCTAAAACAAACAATACAACATCAACATTAACATTCAAATTAGTTATTGAAATATAATTATTTTTAATTTAATATCATGATGTTAACACACTTACTCGGAACAGTGACCAATGTGCTACGTTTTTTACATTTATATACCAAACTGCCACACTGCCACGTGAACAGTAAAATTGGTAGCTAACTTGGTAGGCAATGATTTCTTGACACATGGCACATTTTCGCAAAAAAAAGCTGACTGCCACGTGTCCAAGTTCGCTACGACTTGGTAGCCAATGATTTCGTGACACATGACGCATTTTTGCAGAAAAAGCTGACTGGACTAAGTTCGCTACAAAGGGTAGCGAACTTGGTACGCTATGTGGCACAATCTCGTTACCCGATCAGAATTAATGTACCAATTACAATAAAAAAAGAAAACAAAGAAAAAAAGGCTATTTAATTAATGTACCAATCACCAATCACAATTAATGTACCAATCAAAATTAATTTTGATTGATACATGATTGATGATTGGTACATTAATTGTTTGTGATACCATTGTTACAAATTCGAACGATATTTATTTATGAGAAATAAAATATGCCAAATGAAGTGTCATTGTGTATATTTCAAAAAATTATGTGAAATAAAATAAAAAATCATCTAATTTGAACATCTGAATCAAAAGTTATAACTTTCCAAAGTGATTGATGATTGATACATTAATTGTGATTGATACAATCAAAAGTTAATCCTATTGGTACACTAATTGTGATTAGTGATTGGTATATTAATTATGATTGATACATTAATTGTGATTGATATATTAATTAAATAGCCATTTTCCTTAGTTTTTTTTATATTGTGATTGGTACATTAATTCTGATCGGACAACAAGATTATGCCACATACCGCACCAAGTTCGCTACCCTGATAGCGAACTTATTTCAGTCAGCTTTTCCTGCAAAAGTGTGCCACATGTCACGAAATTATTGGCTGCCAAGTTCGTTACCCGTCGTAACAAACTTGGACATGTGCAGTCATTTTTTTTCTGTGAAAGTGTGCCACATGTCATGAAATCATTGGATAACAAGTTTATTACCAATCATAACGAACTTCAACGCGTGACAATCTAATAAAGAATATTGTTCACATGACAGATTGATAAAAAATTGCCAAAAATGTGATAGTCTAGTCAGTGTTCCCACTTACTCACATCAGAAATAAATTTATTCTAGAAAAGTCTTTTTTTGCCTTTGTCATGTATACAACTTTACAAGAGATATTCGGCTAACATTACTTTACCGCGTCAAAATTTAGGTTAATACAAGAATTTAGAGGAATTCATAGATGGTTTGATGTTTTTCATTGTATAGAAGATAAAATTATTTTATATATATATATAAAAGTAGAGGCAGGATCCTTTAACACCGGTGTCAAATTTGAAGTTTGACACCTCATCTGAGAACCGTTAGATCAAAAAAGATCAACGACTTTGATTTGTAAGCATGTGACACCATTGATCTTTTTTGATCTAACGGTTCTCAGATGAGGTGTCAAACTTCAAATTTGACACCGGTGTCAAAGGATCCTACCTCATAAAAGTATATAGCACCCATTTGAAAAGAAGAAGAGAGAGAAAGAAAATATGGGCCTCATACATTTTTATTTATGTATATAAGATAATTTTATCTCCTATAACAGTTCATAAAAAATATGCCTGTGAACTTTTTATTGTCATTTAGTTTTTATATTTAAATAATAAATATATACATTCTACAGTTATCTCAAGTCCATTTAAGTCTTATAAAAAATTCTTCAACTTAAGTAGGTCCAAGTGCGAAGATATGGCATCTGTCATGGAGTGGTCCAGTTATTGAGATGAAGGATTTTTTTTTTTTTTGGGTTTTCCAAGATATCCTCCGGTGGATAGCCGAAGACTAATCCTTTCGAGGCAGGAGATCACATTAACTAAGTAAATCTCTTCCAACAAAGCTTTTCCATACGCACATCCAAGAATCAAATCCCTGTGCATTAGGGTGCTTAAGGAACCCAGCTATCTACCAATTGTGCTAGGCTTTGTTGGTGAGGTGAAGGACTTTTTTTTTTTTTTTTTTTTGGTACATTGCCAGGAGGTATCCCCATTCAACCTTCTCCGGGCACCATGCCCTCGGGGTACAGCCCGTTTGGGCTAGCCCCTCATTGTAACATTGGGTGCACTAAGCTTCGCAACCGGAGAAAGGACGAGACTAATCCCCCAATCGAAGATTTTTTGGCTTATCCTCTGGCCCCTAAAGATTTTCCAAGAAACTGCTTGAGGCAGGGTTTGATCCCTGCACCAAACAATCCCTTGGGAGCTCAGCTGCCAACCGAGCTACCCTTGGGGGTTAATGAAGGACTTTTTATATATGCGTGTTATGGATAGATTCTCGAGTTATACTTAATTAATCCCTTTCTTTCAGGATTAAGATTTGCTTAATGGTTGTGACTTCAACTTAATATTCCTGACAAAAACAATCATGAAGTGAATCAGCATGCGTAAACAATTCTGTTATGCAAAATTGATTACTACAACTTTTTTAATTTCGCTCGTTAAATAATCAATGGCATACCTAAAGTTGAGTATATGGTTGCTAGCTGCTGGTGGGGTTGGATGACTTAAACGTGACAAAAGAAAAATTAAGAAAGGTAAGCATGACATCTGGAAATCGAAGAAGCTTTTCATTTATTATTCGCCTTTTGCATTTCTAGTGACAATATCTAGCTCAGCACCTTTCTTTGTATCCTCACGAGTTTCTTGTTAATAAGTAGGATCGCCATTTTTATAATCATGAATGCAGTTGGAGTTATTTATTTATTTATTTATTTATAGAAAGTTGGAGTTTTTTTGCTTGTGAAAAAAGATGCATGCACGGTAACTCTTTTAGAAATCTGAAATTTCTGGACTATAAACTGGTTAAGTGTCTCCTTCTCTCTACTCTTTGAACCCATATAAAATCGGATTTCATTAATCACTTACATATTAGAATTGGGAAATGACCGAGTCCAACTCAATACCAAACTGAAAAGTTAACTCAACAGTGTTATAGAGATATAATATATATAATTTTGGAATTAATTTTTAAATTAAATATTTTTATTAATAAGAAGTTTGATTTGAAAAGATGTGTCATTTCGTCGCCGAACAAATGTGTTGCTTCATCCTTTAATGAGTATCTTTTCAATCGCGACCCTATGTTTTCTATAAATAGATAGACAATCATAATTTTAAGAGGAGTTTTTCTTTGCATTTGCATTCCATTACTCTAGTGCGATTGGTCAGACATATGTTGAGTTCGATAAGGCTATTCTACGTGGAAGTGCCGCCACGAGAATAGAGGTAATTCGTTCTATCTTGGGAGACATTTGCCCACGAATTTTGGGCACCATAAAGAGGACAATATTGTCTTAAGGACACAATGTTTAACACTGAGCTCAAATTTTCTCTTGATGCATTCATATATTTTCGTATGATACACTTTAAGTGTGTTATTGTATGTATTTCATGGAACTGTGTGTATTGTTGAAATAATTTCTCACACATATTATCCCCTTTCAACGATTTTAACTATTGAAGACTCATCACTTGCTAACTTAAGCTTTTAGGTGAAATGATTTTTTATTTGTAATCAGAGTCTCTGTGACCACGGGGTTAGGAGGTTCAATCCTCACTGCCTCTTACTTACTAGTGAAATTAGGTTAGCACAGGTATGAGCCTGATGCATTGTTCATGCTTTAAGCTCAAATGGCTCTTGTGTAAGAGGGTGTTTTAAAGAGATATAATATAAAATCATTGAAGGCCAATCACTTAACAATTTGAGTTGTTAGGTGAGATTTTGTTTATCATGGTATCAAGCTCTTGCGTAAGAGGATGTGTCGGACATATATAATATAAAACAATGAAAGGCTCATCACTTAACTTGAGCTGTTAGATGAAATGATTATTTGTCAAGGGGGAAGATCTCCGAGTAGATTTTAGCCATATTAGAATACTTTGCCTACATATTCAAAGGTACTGCAAGTAGATCCAACATTAGGATTATAATAGATTTCAATACCATATTAGAATTGAGAACAAATTGAGCCAAACTCAACCCTAAAAAAGGTAGCTCAAGAGAAGAATATAGGTCATTATACAAGGTACTTTGCTTATATACCAAGCCATTATAAAGATACTAGGGCTCGTTTGGTGGACAAGATAAGATACGAACGGATAGAATAACAGAGTTGGATAAGGGTAGGATATGATATGGGGCTGATAAGCCTATATCATGTCCTGTGTTTGATGGACACCTGATTAGCAATCTGATAAGATTATGTTATCCTATCATGTGTTTGAGGCGAACCAGAGATATCATCAGGATATGATACAAATAGACTAAAATACCCTTTTTAACATAATGTCTTATAATTTATCAAAAACTAACTTATAATTTATCAAAAACTAATTTTTAAATTTATTTATACAATATAATTCTAACAATTATAATTTTAAACAAAATATTTTTAATTAACTTTTTCACTCTTAAGATTTTTTCTCTCTCTTCGAGTGAGTATTTCCCTTTCTTCTTCCTTCATTTTTGTTCCTTTCATAAGTTTCTTTCTTTTATTTCTTTTTTAAGTTCCATTGGCCAAATTTAATCACAAGAGGTTGTTGAGGATTCGGTCTCGCAGACCACCGCTTGAAGACTCTTCCTCTTCTGGGTTTTTTTCCCACCTGAATCGCTTCAATGGTGGAAACGTTTGTTTCCACTAATCTTATGCGTTTACACGTCGATCCAATGTTAGTATCCTATCCTGTTGAATCTTAACTCAGCTCCCCCTATAGGATAAGAAATCATGTATTGGATAGGATGAAATGAGACAATAGGATAAGCTAATCATATCCTATTGACCCACCAAACAAGAGATAAAAGTAGGATATGATAAATCCAATCCTATCTTCTTTATCAGGTGCTCCAAACAGGCTCTTAGGATTTTGGGTCCTCCCAACATACACTTTTGAAATTCACATCGTCAGTTAAGAGTTGTAAAGAAACTAATCTGTAAATAACCATTTCATCTAAAAGCTTTAATTAAGAAGTGAAGGTCCATAAATGATTTTTATATTATATTTCTCTAACACATCACGTCACATAAGAGTACTTTGGGCTTGAAGGACTTAATTCCACTAGAAAGTGAGTGGTGAACTGGTGAGGATCGAACTCGTAACCTCTAGGTTCCGGAGGCTCTGATACCATATTAAACTACCATCTCACCTAACAACTCAAGCTAAGATGTGAAGATCATCAATGATTTTTATATTATACCTCTCTAACATTAACCAATTTGAGTAAGTCATTTGGTTTAGTTGGTTCCATGTATTGTTTGGTTAGCACTGCAATTCTTTTTCTTAAGAGTTTTGGATTATGTTTCAAGTGTTTAAACAGAACCATTTAAACCAAGTCATACATAAATTTGTTTTCAAATGAATCAAATTTAAGTACATATGCTATACAAATACAACACCGTTATCACGTGAGTTCCTAACTTTTCATGCTCATTTGAATTTGAGCTATGTGGTACAACTTATGTTAGCAATGATTTTTAGTTATTTCAACCATGATTGCTTAGAATTAGGTATTAGCTATACTAAGTTTCTGTTATAAATGAATGAACTATTATCAATTATTATTTATTTATGTGCCTTGTGATAAATTACAGTTTTTATTATTATTCAAACAATACAATTACAATAATTTGAGAAAAGCAATGAACCATGGTTTAAGACCAAACCAAATCATGATCGATAGCTTGGTTTGGTCAATTCCACTGAGTTTTCCTCTTGGGTTTGCTTGTTTGTAAACAATATGAACAGGAAGACATCCTTTCTCTTTAGTTCAAAATCTACCAATAGAAAACTCTTTCGTGGGTTTGGGTGTCTGAAACTTCATCAAGACAAGAAATTATGTGTATAGAAGACTCGATCTAATATCAATTAACTTTGTCTAGAAACAAGATCGTTTATTGTGAAGACCCAGTCAAAAACAAGTTTTTTTTTTTTTTTTTTTCCCTCCTAAAGAAAAAAGAGAAGTTTCCATGTGTTTTCCTTCCTCAGTTAATGAATAAATTCCTCTAAATTCAAACCTGAACTCCCCAATATAAAAGCAACAATTTTCTCAACATTCCTTTCATAACATGCGTACAGCTGCAAAATGTTAAGCAAGTCAACTATTCATAATCATTCATCATTATGACACTGATGCTTTTGGTTTCATCAAGTGCTATCCTCAATCTGTTTTCAGCGTTAAATCTCAACCTCAATCCAATAAAACCAATCTAAGTCAACCCACTGTTAATATTATAAGCAAACATATTACATTTTGAAAAGCCCTTTTGTCTTGTAAAAAAAATAGGATAAAATATACAAAATAACTTTACCGTGTTATGATATGGCGTACAAAACTGCCAAATGCATCAAAGTCAATGATACTTAGCCACTAAGGGTGAGAATGGTTTAACATGAATGACCCTTTTTTTCGATACAAAACATGAATGACTTTAATTATATCAAACATGCTTATGTTTCACCCAACAACTAGCAGTGGAGATTGCGGCTGCAGGCCAACAACGCATGATTACCCAAAACCAAGAGGCAAGACGCAAGAGTGATCTCTATCTGTTCGTGCAGCTTTCTTTGTGCGCTTGGGCTGCAAAATTTTACATCCATAACTGTATAGAACTACTCATGCATGCTGCAAGTTATTTGACAAAGTTTTAATTAGTTTCAACTTGGGTTTTTCTTTATGATGTTTCAAGTTAGATTTACGAATATACCGGTATAAAATCATGTTAACCACAGAGAATAATATAAATCGGACCTTTATCTAACGTCTCCAGGTTTTGAGTTAAGATGACTCTTTATATGGTATCAGAGTTTTAATGGCCACAAGGTCACGAGTTTCAAGTGCGGGAATTAAAAAAGTATAAGTTAAATCAAAAAGAAAAAAAATTGGGTTTATGTACTATCCACATTTTAAGGCCAAAGGACTTTTACATGAAGGAGGTGTTAGATAATAATATAAACTATTAAAAATGTCTTCACCTAACAACTTTAAGATTTTGGGTTGAGATGATTCTTTACAATATGAGTTAATTATTTTACATGTTGTTCTTCTACACACATAAAAGTGTGAGACCTATATTTTTTTTCTCTTCTCTTCACATTGACTCAGATGGACTCCACACATTTTTATGTGTGTAGGAGATAAAATTTATATCCTATTCTACAACATGAAAAATATTAATCCCTAACTATATATATAATTATATATATTGGCTCTACCGAATTTATATATATATGTATATATATTGGAACCGTTAATGGATTTTGTGGGGCTGAAACGGACAAGATCTAGAATGCAAGGAAAAAAAGTACTTATTATGGAAATATGATTTGTCCATATTATCTGATGTTAAATATATTAAAAAAATGTAGCACTGAACATTTAGTTTTCTATTTTTAATAATTTACTATAGACTTCATTATGGATGGGTTAGTGCATTGTTGGCCAACTAGCTAAGTTGGCCTACAAGCATGATTTTGACATGCCATCAATGGTGGAATTTATTTTTGGTTGACTTAGAATCACTATGATCAAATTAAAGGAAACTTCTTTTCGAGTGGACTAGTCGTCTGAGACATCCAAATCGACAACCTAACCATAGAAGCTTCTATGTGTATTTGTATTTCCATGATACCAAAGTGACACTTTGCCGTACGGTATTTGCTGCCCGATTTGGACAAATGTGAATCCAAAACTACAAGGTTTGACTCGGAAACCTAGGATTACTTGGGCTAAATATCCTCATAATTTTAGTGTGTATCTTAAAGGTAGTGTCAAAGTCTAGAATGGGGAAAGCAGAACAGTCAATAATACTAGAGTTATTTAAAAAACCATATTTCCAATTTTGTTTTATCCAAAGAGGGTTGTCACTTACGCAATATAAAGCAAAACTAGAGAGGAAACAACCATATATAGTGCAACGCTTTAAACACAAAGAAGCTATAAAACAGTAAACTAAATTAAAAGGCTAACCTTTAAGCAAGGACAAAAAGCACAACAGAAATTGCATAATGAGAAATCAGAAAACATAATAATAGGGCACTTGCAAAGACTTGATTTTACCCAACAAAGCTCAGTCTCCCTTTTTAGTTTTAGAATTTGCACAAACACAAAGTATGATGTAAATATGATGTAGTTAGGCATGAAATTGCGCAAACATGTTCTAAATATAAAAACTTGAATTGTATCTATTACATAAATATTATTTTTGGGTTTAATTTAACTTTTACGAAAGAATAATATCACTTCAAAACTTATCTAAAAGCCTACTTTGTATTAAGACCTTTAAATAGGTGAATAAGCTTATTTTTACATAAGTTAAGAAGTAGGTCTTACTTTTAAGGTATATGAAAAAAAAATTATTTGCCATAAGTTAAAATATTTTTGTTAAAGATTATTATATTTTTTATAAAAAAATTATATGAATATTACGATTAAATATTATAATAGTCTATATAAAAGATTATTCTAAAGATATAAGATTTAACCTATTTAATTAAATAATGTATATAAAAAAAACCTATTTAATTAAATAAGTTTCTAAATAAGTTTCAGCTTTACTCAGCTCAAGACAAACAGCTTTAATCAATAATCGGTGTTAAAAAAAAAAAAAAAACTAGACAAACCTTAGTTTTACTCTTTCTATATGCAGTGAAAAGAAAATCTTTTTTTGGATTACATCCGAATATCTCCATAGCCGATAGTCATGAGACTAATCCCTCACCCCAGATCAGCGCACAAAGCGGTAAAGAGCTGGCCACAAAACGAGTGAAAAGAAAATCTAGTCAATAAGGTTTGCACAAAGCCCAAAAGGGTTTGACACCAACTGTGGATTAGATTTTTATATGGGCCTGACCCATGGCTTATGGTTGGGTTCTCCCGCCATTACATTTCATTCATTCTATCCTTGCAAATGCAACGCAACCGTTTCAGATGACGTTGAGAACAGTCACAAATTGAAATTGAATGAGTGCAAATGTTGCAAACCCTTGGAACTGTAGGCCCTCGTTTCGTGAACCGTTCATGGCTCGGAAGCTTGAGCGTACGTTCATTCTCTTACTCCTCCGATTATGGAGACCAGTCACGTGGTGACCTCCCCCGCTTCTACTCTGGAACTCTTCCTCCTACCAAGGCATTCTCTTCCTCTCTCTCTGTGCTTCTTCGGCAACTGTGTCATTACACCATTAATCAAATTCTAACAACGTTTCTAAGCAATTTAATGTGAAATTGACTAATGGGTATAGCTTTATTTTGGAATGAATTTCAGTTAACAATGCCCCATTTGTCATTTATCCATGTTGGAGGTACTCTATAGAAAGCACAGGGCCTAATTGAGCTGGGGTTTAAGGAAAGTTCTTAATTTGGGTTTTGCTAAAGGGCTTGTTGACACTATATTTTACTTCTGAAAAACCGTTGCGGCTAATCTTCCTTTTGTTTGGTTGAAGATAGTTTTTTTTTTTCTTGTAACAATGCAGGGTAGTGTTATTCGTATTCAAGGTGATGAATTCTGGCATATGACTAAAGTATTGAGGTTGAGCACCGATGATAGGTAATCCTCATTGATCATCGCTCATGAGTTAGAGAGGATAGTTTGATTTGTGACAGTTAGTCTTGTCCTTGAATTTTTTCAAATTGAATAATCTCTTATGGTTAGTTATAAACATTGGACTTCTTAATGTTGATTACAAAGAAGCATAAAGGCATTCAGCGAATTACATTAGAATTGAATGTAGAATAGCTTGTGCCTGCAAATCTTGTGTAGGTGTCTGTTACTAATTTACTTATTCTGAAATGGGAAGGTGGGAGGGGAGTTTGTTTAGGCAGCTGATTGTTTATGATTTCTGTCAAATATTTTGTTTAGTCAGGAAATGGGGTGAACCGGAGCAGTGGTAAAGTTGTTCTTTTTTGACCAAAAGGTCATGGGTTCGAATCCGGGAAACAGCCTCTTTGCAATTATGCAAGGGTAAGGTTGCGTACAAGGATTACTTCCACCCCACACTCGCTAGTCGGGTTTAACGGGGAGTGGTTTTATTTTGTTTAGTCAGGGTTGTTTCTTCACCCACAATTTTATTTGTTTATTCAATGAAAGTAAGGGAACAGATAGTTCTTGCATATCTTTTCTGGCCTGTATTTCAGCATTCCTGTTTTGTACTACACTCTGATCTGAAGAAGATTTTGTTGATGATCCAAATCATGCTGTTCAAGGGTACATCTCTTCAATGGGAAAGGAGGTCTCGTAGAAGGATGTATACAGAACATTGACCGTGCTGGACTTGATTTTGTTGCATTGAGTGATCTGAAGTTAATACCTCCTCAGAATACACAATTGCATGTATTTGCTGGTTTTGGTTAGTTGTTGCAGTTTTCTGTTTAAAAACTTATTTACTGTTGCATGTTTTGAGCACTTGAGTTTTTCCAACCTTTTTTCACTTGTCGAGAACCAAACCTCTCTAGGTACTCTGAAGGGTGGCCGTTCTGACTGGCTTGTTGAGAAGTGCACAGTATGTTTCAATAGAATATTGAGATTTCATCTGGTTAGACTTATAGCTTCTATATGTTATGGTTATTTTTCTTTTATTCATGTTTAACTGCCATAGGAACTTGGAGCCAATAGTGTAACTCCTCTATTGACTGAGCGTTCTCCATCAATATCAGAAAGTCGGGTGGACAGATTGGAACGTGTCATTTTGGCAGCTTCCAAACAATGTAACTATATATCTACTTACATCTGAGGTTAAACATTTATTTTACTCCCATTAGAACTTTCTTTGAGCTTTTCAGACGGAAGAAAGTTTTAAACTTGGGTCTAACATGAAGGGTGACCTATTCTGCTTTTGGTCAGTGAACCTTGCACTGCTGCCTCTTTTGTAGGTCAACGACTGCATGAAATGGTCCTGAAACCTCCTGTAGAAATTGATAACATTTTGCATCTTGTAAGTTCTCCACTTCTTAATACCCTGTCAGAAATTTGGGCATGAATTTCAGTTGTTTGAGAAGAAATTTAACTAGTGCATTGCGATGACCTCCATCTTATTAACCAGTGATATGTTTGTAATTGTAGATGTCTATAAGTTGTATATGCATGCTTTCAATATTTTTTTTTTTGTTCTTGGGAATTCTTCGAGTTAAACAAGGGATTTGATCTCAGTGTTGTTAGCAACTCATTATACATGGCTACCTTGTTACATTTATGAACCAATTATGCTTATAGCATTCCAACTCTTCTCTTCCCTTCTCTCTGTTCATAAGTAACTTGACCTATTTTCTGTCCTTTAGATTGCACAATCAAAGCTATCTCTTGTTGCAACAGCAGAGGCAACTCCTGTTCATAGTTCATTGAAGTCATTGGAAAACGAAACTAGTGGCTTAATAATAGTTGGACCAGAAGGCGGTTAGTATGCTAAATGTACTCTAGTTTTTGCTTAAAATAAGTTGACGTTATCTGTGTGCTAAATCTCCCCTCTCTTGATCAGGGTAAAATGAAAATGTGTTAACCTTTTGATTGCCAAATACTGTTGCGTTTCTTGGGAGGGAATAAATATATCTATTTTCTGCTTAAAGTCAAATTAACTTTATTTTATGTTGCTATGGAATTCTGCAGATTTCACAGAGAAAGAAGTGAGTATGATGACGGAAGCAGGTGCTAGAGGTGTTAGTCTTGGGCCTCATCGTCTAAGGGTTGAAACTGCCACGATAGCACTTTTGGCAACTGTCATGTTATGGTCTGACTCTCAGCAAACTTCACCAGTGTAGGTAGGTCAAGCCTACTAGATTTCTTATATGAAATTTCTTAACAACGTTCTCATTTTGTACTTTGTAAAAGACTAAAATTTTCCCTATCAGAAAGTTTCTGTAAATCCCTAAATATCTTTTAAGTGACGATGTTGCTTAGAAATCCCATATAAGCAACATAGTTGACTAACAACATTACGTGTGTATTTAAAGTTCCACCTGGAGAACTAATTTATATAGACGCATACTCTTATAGACCAAAGCAATACAAGCTGCCACTTTCAGGAACTAAATTATGCATTAAAAGCAATTTTTTATTGAGCGAGAATCCTAGCTACGTTAAAAACCATAACAAAACTTGCCGTCTAAAGATTATCATTTTAAAAAGAGAGGACACCAACGGGTTTGTTGAGTGGGGATTTGGGTTAATGATAATCTAATGGAAGTGCTTAAAGATTCAACCCTACAAGTTTCACATTAATGCATAATCAATTTGGATACAACCCTCGCATTTGAACGTTTTGTCTAACCTTCTGTGTAAAATATAGACTTTAGAAAGATATAACAAAAAAAATTGCATGGATTGGAATAGCTTGGCGATATAATATTCAACTAGGAACACACTTGTCATGTTCCTATTTATTTTTCTACTTGATTCTAGAATTTGACTTAACATAATAAAGGAGAGTTAAGAGTCTAAACTGGTTTTCCTACTTCTGATAGAGGTTACTTTTTGGTTGATTATTATCGTAAATATGTCTTAAATGGTTGCTTTGGATGACGTAGTCTACAATTTCTTATTCATGATATCTGTTTCACTCATGGAGGTCTGGTGAAGAAATTGCAAAATAAATAAATTAAACATATAGAAAAGAATAAACTTATAAAGTGCCTCTTTAAAATCAACAACCGGCAGTGCATTTGATGCGAATGAATAATTGGCAGGCAAAGGAAAAGTTATTGATGCAAATGTGTTTTACACTGTCTTTATATAGCACAAATAGAGCAACAACCAAGATAAGTTTTGGGTATTTGACAGTTCCGGAAGATAAAATTATGTATATACATATATAAGATAAAATTATAAAATCTGTCATTTTATCACAACGCCATCTTAAATATAAAAAATGACCGAATAAATGAAAAATAAATCATTGGGTGTTTGGCTGCTCCGGGAGAATATAAAATTGAAAAATTAAGTGAGCCAATCGCTTATGAATATATTTAAAATTAAGAATTACCTAACGAATGGATCATGGTTAAAGAATAAAAACACAAAATACTATATATAAAAAAACTATTAAATAAAATAAAACATTTATTAAATTAAAAATTCAAGAATTATTTATGAAATTTGAGATAAGTAATGAATTAGGAGCATTTGAATTAGGAATCTGACTCCTCTAAAATGAGGAGCACACTTTAAAGCATAAAATGTAAAGTTATAACCGTAGATTCAAAAATTAATTCCTAAAATTATAATATATTGTAGTAAGTTATCACCCATAAACACAAACTATGTTGGGCACATTCGGGTGGACATTTGGATCAGTATCACTTTCCCGTTAGTATACATCACAATATTAAATATAAACATATCTTTCTTAGTTTATTCTAATCGTAATACTCAATCAATCGTTTAAACTTTGGCACGCTATTATGTATTTTTCGTATTTAATTGAAGTCGTGATTTCCACAAACTAGCTTTTTTCCATACACTTATCCAATCTCCGTAGCACAATCTTGGCTGCACAAAGTACATTTTGATATTGAGTTTTTTTATTTGTAAAAGGAGTGTTTGTCAAGTTTAGAGTTTCTCATCTATTAGTATTTGAACCTTTTTATGTCCGTTGTTTATTAGATTTGACTATGACCAACGTCCTTTACGATGCTCTTGGGGTCTCCCCACCTTGCCGTCCAAAGCAAATTAAAGTGCAAACTTGGTTCCAACTTCCAAGAGACAAAGCCAAAGCAAACTCATTACAAAGTCCACTCTTCATAAGCACAACCATTTGCATCTTACTTTCATCACCTCAAACTTATGTCAAAGCTATCAAGCTATATTTTCAATTAATTCTGGGTGGGTGCAATATTGTTGAAGATAAAGGAACAATGGCGAAGGAAGCAAGCAAGCAAAGTAAGTTTAAGCACTTCATATTATCCCCCATAAGATTTCTAAAGAAAGCAAGGCAAATATACATGAAGTGTGTGGTGGAATGTGCTGGAGGGTATGGTTATGGTGCTGCCACTCCTTCTGGTCATCACATATCACACTTGCCTATGACGACTAATAGTGTCAACCTCAATGCTTTGAGGCCAAGTGGTACTGATGAAGGACAGAGAGAGCTTTTGAGAACAGTGCCTATTAGAAATAATGTAGGGAATGAAACGAGGGTTGTTATGCATAGGCAAAGACAACCATTTGTGGGGTATAAATATAATAGAATGAAAATGAGCTATAGTCCTGAGGTGAGGAAGATGGAGAGAATTGATGAGGAACAACCTTGTTATTTTGAGGAGGATCAAATGGGTTTCAAGACCCATCTATTTTATTTGTATCCAAGAAGAAGGAGCAATGTTGTTGTCAACATGCGAACAGTGTATAATCAACGAAGATTGAAGGATGACATGCAAGACGCATGCAGCTCAAAAAAAGGTGACTCAGTCTAATTAGCTAGGAAACTTGGAGCGATCCTCCTCATTTATAGCTAAGTTTTTTATACTCTGCTTCCGTAATGATACCATGTATTTTGCAGATGTAGTATTTTCGTTAATTTTGCAATCGACAATGCATGTGGTGAATATTTGGGCTTCAAAAAACATGATAAGATTTATCAATGAAAATGTGACTGTGGATCTTGATTTATGTTAAGATTTGTTTTACTTTTCGGTTCTAACTGTAGTAGTTACTCTAACATTTTGAGTCAAAATGTCAGGGGCGAGTTAAGATTCCCCACCTCAAAAGCTAGCTCAAAGGGTGAGAGTGTTCAAGGCCTTATAAACTCCACATTAGTTGCACATACAACCAATGTGAGACTATATATCTCAACATACCCCCTCATGCAAGAGTAGCGTGGATTATGCAACAGGTCCAATCTTTGGTTTACCTTTTGTGCTTCCACTTTAAAGTGGAGTGAGGATCGAATCTCAAGCTTTGATACCATGTAAAGAACCTTGGGATACACCACCCCAAAAACTAGCTCAAAGGGTGGGAGTGCTCAATGCCTTATAAACTCCACATTAGTTGCACATACAACCAATGTGAGACTATATATCTCAACAGACACACATCAGAGACCACGCGATTAGTATTTCCTACAAATGAAATTTTGTATTTGGCTTACTTCATATTATTCATGAGTCGAATCTCCCCAATATCACTTTGGGATGAGTTTAAAGTCTTAATCCTGGACCCGCCCCGAATCGGATTAGTTGCAAAACAATGAACCGATTGGAATATTTCCAAAAAAAAAATATTATTCATGAGTGAATCATTAATTACTAATTTGTTAAACATTTTTTTTCTTAAAAAAAAAACACGATGTTAGTCTATTAATCAACCAATAAAAGTTGTTAATTAATGAGTAACCCATGTATAGCCTAAATGTAAAATTTTAGAGGTGGAAAAAACATTTTCTTATTTATTTTAAATAAACGTGATGCAACACTTACGTAAAAGCAAGCTTTACATAAGGTTAAGCTACAATCAGCTCAAACTCCACATTAGTTATAAATGATTATTTTTTTGTTTTATAAAATGTTAGGTTTGAATTTATATTAATTACATCATCCCAATCATTATTTTTTCATAATTCTACGCACGAACCCCACATGAAATTTAATAGATAACTAAGTAAAACTCGACCGTAAGATGCTCAAGCTTTCTGTAGCATAACCAGGTTAGGTACATCAACTACAGCTTGCCTTTCCTAACATTGATCTATTCGGTATGTACTTATCACTATACATAGAAATGAGAAAGAAATAATAACATAACCAATACGACAAAAAAAACTTCCAAAAGTACTAGTTTAAATCTCACCAGAATCAACATTAATATAATTAAAAATTTATTATACTAATTTTTATTTTTATTTTTATTGAGAATATCCCCAGTAATCTCACAGTTATTATAATACAGAGAAGGATATTATTATTATTTTTCTTTAAATGAACTTATAAAAGAAAAAGGGGAAATAAGAAAACTGACAAATTAATAAAAGTACATTAATTGTAATAATGACATTTCTTTTGATGGCAAGAAGAAAGTAACAGTGCATGCAGATGTACATGCTAGAAAAAGGCAAAGGCAAAATAATTGTGATAAGAACAACATTTGCATAAATAACATAATAAAACTGGTATTGGAAAGTACAGTTTTTGTGAAGTGAGAGGCAAAAACAGGGATGGAGAGAAGTGAGGAGGTTATGAGGCGACGCATTCGTAAGAAGGGAAGTGGCGCGAGAACATGGCTGGTGGTTGACGGCGGCGGCAATAAAGAGACGGTGGAGGCTGGCCGGCAGATGATAATGAAGAGGACGGGGCTGACGGCACGTGACCTGAGGATACTGGACCCACTGCTGTCGCAGCCTTCGACGATTATGGGGCGTGAGAGGGCGATGGTGATAAATTTGGAGCACATAAAAGCTATTATCACTGCGAAAGAGGTTCTCTTACTCAATTCCAGAGACCCCTCTGTTATCCCTTTCGTCGATGAGCTTCACTCACGGATTCTTCATCACCACTCTGCCACTCCACCTCCGGTTTTTGTCTCACTTTCTCTGCTTTCTTCTTCTTCTTTTTTTCTGTTATTGAAAGGGATGATATCATAAGAAATAATATTAAAAGAGTTTAACGTTTTTGGATATAAAATTATTTTCTATAGATACGTGTGTGATTTATATTTTTCCTTTTCGCTTCACATAACTTCATATAACCGATGTATTTTTACGTATATGTAAAAAATAAAATTATTCGTTAGAAACATTAAATCCATATTAAAATATGTAATAAATTTGTGAAAGTTATAAAATATTGGTTTTTTTAAATTAAAAAATTAATTATCCGTTGATTTATTCAGTTCAATCAGATTATTAAATTAATTAGGTTATGAGTATTCTAGCTTGTTTTGACTAATCTCAAGTTAGTTTATTTTTCTTTCCTGTATGCTATCCAAAAAAAAGTTGTTAATTTATAAATTTAATCATAATATATTGAACTATTCAGTCCACAATTAAACTATCTAACCCATTAGGATTGGTCTAGTGGCAAGGGATTTGGATAAATTATATGTTCAATTCTCACTTGTATTTAAAAAAATAAATGAATAAATTCAACTGTAAGTGAGGCTGATTTCAATAAATTGCAAAATTTAATACTCCAAAAACAGTTGTACGTTTTCAAATAAAATGTATGTATACTCATATTTATTTGTTAAAACTAAAAAATATTACAAAAAAACTCTCGATTGGATATAAAATAAGTTAATCTAAACACATAATATATGATCTCTTACAGGAAGAATAAAAAATACTAGTCTGTCTGTAAAATAACTTATTTTATATTTAAAATAACTAATTAATAATAAAAATCTTGTTAAACAAAAATAAAATAAAAAATTTGATCAAAATCAAATGTGCAATTAATCAAATTTATATATGTTTTTACCGGATTGATGTATTGCAAATTTGCAATCAAAGAACATTAGGTCTTCTCGGCGTCAAGGGAAAGGCAATCAAGGCAGTTGATCATTTGAAGTTTTCTTTTTGGTTGTTATAGTTTTTGTTTTTATTACTAAATATCTTTTTTCCCTGCCAGGTTCCCTTATAACTTTTATGGTCGTTGAATCACACACAAATTATCGGCAGATAACATTATTTTATAAACGTTAATTTGATTTTGATCCAATAACTATGAAAAATTGTTAGATGTCATAAAATATGACCACTCTCCATTTCTTTATATCACTTTATATATTGGGAAAAGTTCATTAATATGTTTGTGATTTTTTTATCACATATGTTCTTATAGTTTATAAAAAATAAAAAATCACGTAGGCATCTCTGATAAAAACACATACTCTTTTACAAACCACAAAAACATGTGATAATAAAAAAAATCATAAGAACATATGTGATGCTGGAATAAACCTCGTTCGTCAACTTTTCCCTTATATATTTTTGTATGATTCGGAACTGCATTAGTTTTGGCACTTATAATGACCGGGATAGGCGTAGATATTGATAAAAGTAGTTCGGTATTGTTGCCAAATTACTATTATTTTTGGGTTCACTTCCATATGATTCAACAAAATTATATTCCCATATATAGTTGAGATAGGATGTTCAAACTAGCGTCGCTGTTCTTTATGAAACCACTCTTCTGTAAATCCTTGTTTTGCTGTTTTTGGCCATTGAAAACTTTGTAGAACTCAGTCAAGTTTTGACTCCTTCTCTGCAAAATGTTTTCAGCAATGCCCCTTTTCTTTTATTTCTATCATATTCATTACTATCAAATCTACAGGAGGATCAAGATGGCATGAAGATTCTTCCATTTGAATTTGTAGCATTGGAGGCATGCCTCGAGGATACTTGTACTGCTTTGGAAAATGAGGTATATATATATATATTCTTTCTCTTTTGTTTATTTGGTTTTCTATAATCTGTCTTTTCTTCTTTTTTTTCCGTCATCGTTTTGCAGGCAAAGATATTGGAGCAGGAGACTCATCCTGCCTTGGATAAACTGACTTCAAAGATTAGTACTCTCAATTTGGAACGCGTTCGTAATGTTAAGAGCCGTTTAGTTGCCTTAACTGCTCGAGTTCGAAGGGTAGAGTGTTTTTCCAATTGTATAACACTGCCTTGTTCTTTGAAATTTATACTAATATATATATATGACATATCCAATTGGACATTCCTTATTTCTTCTGCACCTTGTTACTGCATATCATGTGGGATTCTTCTGATTGATATTGCAAACATGCTCATTTTCAGGTAAGGGATGAATTAGAGCACTTGCTGGATGATGATGAAGATATGGCCCAGCTGTACCTGACATACAAGTTATCTCAACAGCAGCTTGAAAATTCTTCTACCTCATCCATGAATGACGGGGATGACATGGAGAGTCAAGTTCTTCAACCAGATATAAATGACAGGCATGTAATTTTATTAAGAATTTGATCATGTCATTGTTCTCATCATAAGTAACAACTGTATGCACTAAATCCTTCATTGTTTTATTAGGATTCCTTCTGATATATCATTGGAATTTGGTGGAGGTTCTGCAAGTGATGAAGATCATCAAAATGCTGCTGACTACTCCACAGACCAAATGTTTGGTGCATCTAATGGAGTTGGTATTGAAATCAAAGAAACCCAGGATGGCGCTACCTACAGTGCTGTAACCAAGAAACCTGATGTGCAGGAGCTTGAGATGCTCTTGGAAGCATACTTTGTGCAAATTGGTGGCACATTGAACAAACTATCTGCGGTATTATTTTGACATGGGCTTTATCCTCTTGTGGCCTTATTTTTTTTTGCCTCTCTTAGTAGCTGAATGGTCTAAGAAGTTTCACTAGAAATGGAGCATCTACAACTTTAAAAAAAGAATAATCAAAATATTTATTCTCTCAGATCAATTAGAGTTGCCAAATATATTATTTGGAGGAGGGTCCATAAGATAAATGATTGTTTCCATTTCCAAGAATTATTGAGAGGACATGCTGGTCTGTTACTGAGGCCAAAGAACTAAGTTTGACAAGTTTGATTCTTAGCAATTAATTTGACATTGCTTGCTAAATTAAAGACACAAGTTTGTAACATCTTTTAAGTGACATCACATGTTAGCATTTGTTGTTTAGCTGAAGGATGAAATTGACTTCTTCATTGCTAATAACTATTTGTTGGGTTGTGACTTTGAAGCTGAGGGATTATGTTGAAGACACAGAGGACTATATAAACATTAGGCTGGATGACAAACAGAACCGTCTCTTGCAAATGGCAGTGAAGTTGGGCACAGCAGATGTGCTTTTGAATGCCTTTATTGGAGTGACTGGTATTTTTGGCATGAATATTCATATAGAGCTATATGATACTGGGTTGCCACAGTTCCTTGGGACTATTTTTGGATGCACTGCTGTTTGCTTATTCTTGTTTATGGTTTCCATTGCTTGGTATAAGCGCAGGCGCTTGCTGGAATAGCTGGCCACCCAATTTTGTGTTTCAAATAGAAAATGTAATTTAATTTTAAAATTACTTATCTATATATGTGCCACAATTTTTTTGTTTTACAAGACACCTAAAGTAACCATTTGCTTCAAGTACACATATGATATATCCTTCAACTCCAACTTCTTTGTTCATATTGCGCAGAATTCTGTGGATGATAAAAAATGGGAACATGGGAAGGCTTCTGTTTATGTCAGCGAGAAGTAGAATACCCTTGAACGAGTGAATTGAAGGACAAACAAAATATCATTAGATCATAGTCGCTTTCTTACATATCCGAGCCAAAGGTGAATGAATATACAGCTATTTGCATATTGAATTCAACCGATTATAAAATGGATTCGCTTTTTACGCCGTCACGTCATGTGAGCCAAAGTTGAATGAATATACCATATCGTTTTGCGAAAGAAATTATGATGTTTTTGTAATTTTAATTTATTTTAGAATTATTATAGTCTTTATAATTATAATTTTGTTTTTGTAATTTTAATTTATTTTAGGATTATTATAGTCTTTATAATTATAATTTTTTAATCTTTCAATCCCACGATGTCATTTTGGAAGTAAATGCAGATAACTTATCTGTAGTAATTGCAGAAATATTTTTCTGTTATAAAATATATATATTTCTTATCTTGGATTTTGACCTGTGTCAAATTAAAAAGTTTGACATTAAATTTTAATAGTTGATTTTCGTCTATTTAACGGTTATAATTTGTTAGAAATTAATAATTAATTAATAAGTGTAACCCAATAAATTATAACTATTAAATTTTTAGAAATTAACGGTTAAAATTTTTCTTTAAACTTGCCCAATTTATCTTATTTCTGTATTAGTTTTATTTAAAATTGCAAATTTAGTTCATTCTAATTTAATCTAAATTGGTCTGTATTGAATTTATTTTTCAGTTTTTTTTAAAAAAATAAAAAATAGTATCTGGATTAATCGAAATATAAAACTTCATTTTTATTAAAATATATCAAATATATTTTATCAAAATATACTACGTATAAATTTAAATAAATTTATTGAAGTGCATTCAAAACGCATATTAAATTATGAATATGATTTCAAATTAACTATCAAGAAGTATAAAATATCTCCAAAGTTAAGATAAGAAATTAATTAGTATGACTTGAGATATAATAGAATTTTTTCAAAAAATAAGTATGAATAATATAAAAATTTCTTAAATAAAATAATATTTTTAAGTATATATAATTTCGGTCAACTTGGTTTAAATCAATTTTAAATTTGGATTTAAAAATTGATCTAATCCAATTTATATTAATTTATTAAATTTCCAATTTTCAACTTTATGTTTTTTTATTTTAGTTGAATAAATTTTAAGTGCGTGTATCCTAGAATCTTAAACTGGGCGTAATTGAAAGACATTTACCTAGATGTCGAGTGCTATCTCCGTTCGTCCACACCATATGGACTAATGATAAAGCATCAACCTCATCTCTTTGCTTATATATTAGTGTATCTAAATATTTGGATTTTTTAATTTAATGTTTTTCAATAAAAATTGGAATTTTTTTTAGGCTAATGAATATATTTAAATTAGCTCAAGAGCAAAACAACGACTAAACATTATCTCACTATAGGATCAGATACATGAACCAATCTACGCTAATTAATGAGCTCTATTAAAACCAAAATTTCAAACATTGTTTAGAGTTAACTTAGCTCAAAAATAAAATGAGAATCTTTTTGAACCAAAAAAAAAAAAAAAGTTTGGTTTCCGTTATTTACATAATATAGTCCCTAAACAGATTGACACGTGCTGTAGTGGCTCATCTTCATTATCCATTCGCTATAACTCTTGGTTGTAGTTAAACAAGCTAGAATAGATAGAGGTGACTAATGAAAACTATCTGATGAGTTCAATAGGGCAAAGCATATTGATGGCACTAACTGTCACAGTAAACAAGTATGCTTCATCCAATTTGCAAGCAGTTCATAGAACACAAGGAAAAGCAGCAACAACCACACCCACCTTAAGCACCAATGTGGGACTTGGAAGGAGAGGACTTGTCTTATCCACTGTAATTGCCACCACCCAAGTACCTGATCCTAGGACCGATCTTCTTAAAAGTATGCATAACTCTCCTCGTTTGTTTTGTCTTGAAATACTGGTAGTGTATCTGCCCTACTTCTTAACAACTTGTAGTGTGGTCTTGCTAACCCAAAAAAACTTTGTCATGAAATTGTTATCAGAATATCTGAAGAAATCAGAGGAAAACAAGGAGAAAAATGACAAAGAGGTAAACAAGTGACTAGCTAAATTCCTCACATGTATGATGGTGTGCATTTAAATGTTAGAAAATTAATAAATGATGCAATAACGTTTTTGCTAATAGACAGATTATTTTCAAGCCCAATCCGTTTAACATGTTTTTTTTTTGTTTTTTCGTATACTGATACTAATTACTTTTTTGAAGCGAGTTAATTACTTTTTTGAAGCGAGTTGACTCGCTGTATCCTAATAAATCTTAGTCGGGCTTAATTACCGGTTAAAGTTCTTCGCCCCTCGTTAATGATATATTTGGTGGAAATCGAATTCGAATTTTCTCGCTACCTACTCCATTTCATGTTGTCTCTAGTGTGTGCATGAATGAGCAGAAGATGTGAATTTATGTTGTAAGCCGTGTTTAATTTTTAATCACATTGTGTAACAGAGGCTGGAGAGTTATTACAAGCGTAACTACAAGGATTACTTTGAATTGATGGAAGGAACTTTGAAAGGAAAGAATGGGCAACTGTCAGACACAGAAAAGGGTATCCTTGATTGGCTTCAAAAGAACAAGTGAAATCGGTTTTCTGAATTGCTAAAGTTGTTACTTTTTAGTCATCTAACTGGTGCTCTGATGACATTGAATTTGCTTCTGTAGACTGTAGCTCCACCTTTGAAATTGTACATTAGATCCACATAGGCACATTGCCCGGTAGATTGTGATTTTCTGTATTCTTGAATTCCACCAAGTACAGTCATTTCAAGTAATTGACTTTAAGTTGACATTGGTTGGCATCACATTCCTTTAATAGTTGTTGAGATATATAGTTTCACATTAGTTGTATGTGCAACTAATGTGGAGTTTACAAGGTTTTGGGCACTCCCACCCTTTGAGCTAGCTTTTGGGGTGGTGTATCCCAAGGTTCTTTACATGGTATCAGAGCGTTCGAAATCTCATCGCCTCTCACTTTCTTTGTAGTGGAATTTCCACATGTAGGTGGGCTTGTATGTTGTCCACCCTTCAAGCCCAGTGGGCTCTCGTCTGAGGGGGCGTGTTGAGATATATAGTCTCACATTGGTTGTATGTGCAACTAATGTGGAGTTTATAAGGTCTTGGGCACTCCCACCCTTTGAACTAGTTTTTGGGGTGGTGTATCCCAAGGTTCTTTACATGGTATCAGTATCAGAGCCTCGCCGCGCCCCACTTTCTCTTGTGGCGTTTCTTAACACAGGTAGGCTGGGCCTGTTGCATTGTCCACTCTTCAAGCCCAATGGGCTCTCGTGTGAAGGGGCGTGTTGAGATATATAGTCCCACATTAGTTGTATGTGTAACTAATGTGGAGTTTATAAGATCTTGGGCACTCCCACCCTTTGAGCTAACTTTTGGGGTGGTGTATCCCAAGGTTCTTTACAATAGTATATTGAACCACAAAAACTTCATTGGCTCCAACAATTTCAGTCCTCTGGGGTTTCTTCTTTCTTTCTATTTTTGATTTGTTTTATCTTGGGATATTCGGATATGGTGGCAGTTTCTTTCTTGCAAGATGCGTCACTGAAATTTGATAGACTCTGAATAGGAGAGAGCAATGGTTTGTTGCATAATAAGATAAACCAATTTCACTGCATTGACATGACTTGTTCAAAGGACAAGAAAATATTATTGGCAAGCTAGGGCCTGAAAGTCACCCCCCGAGAAGATCAAAGATCTAAAGTGACTGAACTACGGATTGATTTGGTTGGTGTGTTCCAACATTACTTATATAGGTTCACCAATCACCATATGCATTCATTTCTCACTTTTGGTCATCCAAAGTCAAATCTTATGATCATTCTTAGCTCCCAATTTGGGAAATGCTTTATACTGTGAGAACTTCTTGGTAACGTTGTCTTTGACACAGTGTGACTTGCATAGCCACCAGATCTCCCATTATGTGACTTTTGGTTTGCATATCCTGCCATGACTTTGAATCAGTTTGACAGAGCCTACTTGGTGCTTTGGAGATCAATGTAACTCTGTTTTAAAAGTTAAATTTCCTTTATCAAGGGTCCACATCGATATATTTTAAGTCAATTTTCTAGCAGTTTGTATCTGTGTGATGAAAAAAATTAATCCATGTTTTCCTATCTTTTGATGATATTTTTCGTGATATTTTGATTTAAAAAATACACACAAAACAGAATTATGAGAAAGTTATTTTTCGAGTAAATTTCTTTCCAATGTACTACCAAATATGAGATTATAGGAAACTCACTTTTACTTTTCCAAACATATAAAAATAATCCTCCTACCATATATATAGGTTTTGTTTGTATTCACATTATGAACTATCAAATTTATGGGCACTCACGCAGTTATCCAATGGACATAGTTGGTTTTCTTAATGAAGTCCACAAGTTGTAGATCAGAGAGTAAGGGTCCTGTATCCTACATGTGAAGTCCAAGATTGAACAGTAGAAATCTACTATTAGTTTCCAAAACAATATCAGAATTGAAAGGAAATAAAATACCTTTGTGATTTGAAAGTTTGACTATGAAGCACCGACATACATTGGTAAGTAACACTTGTAGCGAAGGAGTATCGGACATGCTTCCAAATCACTCCTTGCACATCCTTAGGACAAGTGTTGGACACTCCTCACTCGGTGTCTAATTAAAAAATTATTTTTTATTGGCTAAGGTTTGCTACGATTAGGTTTGCTACTGTATTAGAAAGTTGACTAGAAATTAAGCATTGTGCTCCCAAACCCATAACATGGGTATATGCAGTGACGTGATGAGTTAATCTCTCCTAGTGATCATGTCACTGTTTGTACCACATTCATGTCCTTGGCATAGATCTTTCAACCCGCAGAAGTGCAGAAAGTGTTGTCATGAGAAATGGGAACATCCAAATTATATTGGCAATGGTCACATAAATAGGAGATCAGATGATAGACAAGTTTTTGGAAGCAAGAAATTACCCTCTTTGTTACAAGGATACTGAGAGGGGTTTGGTTTGGGTGGTGGTGGTGGTTGGAAGGGCAGAATTGTTTTTCCCACACCCTTACTCTTATCCAATTTGATGGAATGCAGCTGGACATTAAACTATCATCAATTTTATATTGTTTTCTCTCTGTGGAAGTTATTGTGTTTGATTTGTCTTTTGGTTAGCTTCCTCTATTATTTTAGCCTTTTCTTCAAATTATATATAAGAAAACAACATGTGGACAGAGATTAGGATTTTGTCATACTAAATTCTCAATGCCATCTTTTCTTTACCTTTTTCAACCTTTCTGGACTTAACAGGAACTCTGACTAGGAATAAGTAAAGGAATAAAAAAATCAAGTGCACAATTTTGCATGCCATCAAGTCCTATGACAGCTTCCAATCAGACAGACATAGAGGGAGCAAACCTACATAAACAAACATCAAATATCATATATTAAAAAAGGATCCTTCCAAAAGAGATAAAGTTGATAAAATAAACAAAATGGGGCATGTTCCTTTTGGGTCAGGAAGATCTCGGGCAGGATATCCTGAACTCAAAAGAGATTTAAAGAGATACATATGAAATATTCCAACATGAAGATTGACATTTCCTTCTCATCTTTCTACACTGTCCTGATTGCCCATCCCTCATAACCCTATTTATCATCTTTTCTCTTTCTGGAAGCAGGTCAAGCCTTCATTTTGAGTCAATTGGAAACACTTGAACTTTCACTTTCAGAAGATGGAGCCTTGTCTGGACTCCCCCTAACAGTCATAAAGGCCTTGTCCTTTTTTATAAGGAAAACTTAAAAAAAAAAAAAAAATTATAACCACGGCTCTTTGTACTAACATAAAGATCCAAATATAGATCCTACCTAATCAATAAAGCATCACATAGCCTTTATCTGAATTTTTTTTTTTTTTTTTGCATTACATGAGAATTGAACACACACCCTTACACTACATACATTTAACTCACGGACTCCACCACTAGCTAATCCTAGTGGATTTTATCTGAATTATCTTTGATTAGAGTATCAATATATTTAGTCGGGCAGCATTTAATTTTATCTTGCTTTACTAAAAAGAATACATAAATTTATATGAGTAAAAACAGGAAAATTATCCAATTGAATTGTCAAGTGCATAGTTTAATTTATCAGTGAAATCTTTTCAACTAAAAGGAAAAAAACTTTTTAAAAATTATTTTATAAATTGACCTTATCATCTTACTCATATGCTTTCGGGATTATTTTAAAAACTTTTGATCTCTTTGGTATTATGAGAGTTGCAATTAGGAAGTTATATTGAAAATTTTCTGGGATTGTTAAAGTGAGTAACAGCAGATCACTGCCATCTTCCATACCACGGTAATCCTTGGAACATAGTCCTATGGATTTATATCGTGCATATCGTTAAGAATAATAGACAAATTAACAGGAAGATTGAGTAACAGATTGTTAACCCCAATCGAGATTGCAATTATCTGTTGAATAAATTTTGCAGGTACCTTTGCTAGAAGATCTGCTCTTAGCCTCTAACTGAACTTAACTGGGAATTAAACTCTCAATGTGGAAAAGTTGTATTTCATTACGGGGCTAATTTTATACTGCCAAAGAAAAATAAGATCGTGTTATTACATTTTTAAAGCGACCGAACCGAATAGAGCAATTAAATATTTATTAATTTAGGTTGCAAGAGTTGGTAGTACTGCATTGCTTATATAAATTGAGCGTGGGGCTTCATCAAAAACAAGGAGTGAGCATGCTTATACAGAGCCTAGCCTGCCTAACTTCTCTATATTGGAATCATCATTCATTGACAAGAAAATTAAATTTTGGAAGCAAAAAAATTTATTTCTGACTTGTCCTTTCAGGTTGTTTCCCACTGCATTGACAAGGAAAAGAAAAGAAGGTTACATGGTCCCTATTGATATCTAGTTACTTCTACACCGTTATTCTCCATCCATTGATCTTCAGTAACTTCCACAGCAACTACTTTAATAGCTGAGGCAGCCATTAGGAGAACTCATCTCATCTTTGCCTCATCTCCATTTCTTTCCTCCATACCATCTGCTAAACAAAAGAATGCAAATGAATTATCAAAACCAAAAATTAGAATTCTGTTGGGCTATATAAGTCATTGCAAGTAAAAAAATTTATAGTGCACAGAAGAAGAAGAAAAATTTCTTTTTGAATTTTCTATCCATCTTCTATGCACAATATGACATATGTCTTATTTTTTTTTTGTTAAATCACTCTCCTATCTAATATTAAAATTATAAGTAAAAGATATACTGAAAATTCAGTGCATCGGATGCACCAAAGATTTGTTCACAAGAAGAAACTTACTTGTTGCCTTGAAGTTCATTTTTTGATAGAGATGGTTGTAATAAACCGAAGTGTTCTTCTTGGAATGAGGATCTCCCCTGCAAGAACTCAAATGGTTTTAGCTATGCCTTGCCTGCTAACAAAGTGTAAAAATGATTGAAATAAAAAGAAGAGAATCAAGCCAAGTACCTCAAAATAATTTGCAGAGAAACCTTGGGAATAATTTAGCATGCTCCCTGTCGAAGTTTGTCGGTTGGTCCCAGTAACATCATTCTGAAAACCATTAGTAACAAACACATTGCACACAAGTCATTATTTTTTTAAAAAAATACTCAACAAAAAAATTGAAATAGTAAGCAAGCTCAAACTCTTGGCATTCAACATCTCAAACTTACAGTGGAGATGTCAAACACATGAGAGCTAGCAGTGTCATGAAGAAAAGAGGGTAGATGTTGATTTTCACGGTGTTGATTCTCTTTAACTTTCAGCCTCTTTGTACCACTCTTGGCCAGCTTCACTGCTTTGGGTGCTGAATAAAAGCAACCATTATTATGTTCTTCATTGAAGCAAGCCTCATCATCTGGGATATGTGGAGGCCCAGAAGAAGCATCAGAAACCATGGACAAGTCCTCCTCATCCCCAGAGTTCTCATCTTTGACTCTTTTGTCTTTGTGTTCCTCATAAAATCCATCAGTTCCATCTATAAATCGATTCTGGTTAAGGAAAGAGTGTTCGAGGTATAGAGTCCAACCAGACTCACACCCACTACTGCATTCTGAAGCAAATGCATTCATCTTCTTTTTAGCTGTCAACTCTCAAAGAAAATATCAAACAGGTTTTTTTCTGGTTTTCTAGCATATAGGATTAGGAGTCTCCAATTTATGGTGAAAGAGTAGTGGTAAAAGGTTGAAAAGATTAATGGGAATATTTTATCAAACTCTCACACCCTATATATTAACGGTATAACAATGTGTCTGTCCTCTGTAGTTTTAATTTTGATATTCACCAAGTTGGATAGAAACTAAAAGAGTGGATAGGTGGTGGATAAAAACAAGAGAATCAGACTCAAATCCTAGACTAGTTTTGTCCTTACCCTCCTCCAATGCGAATGAATCAAAAGTGCCAGTTGGATGGGTTATAGTGGGTGCATGTAGGAGAGAGAGAGAGAGAGAGTCACAACAAGTCACAACCCCTTCACATGCTAGACAGCGAGGCACTGTGTACCCTCTTAACAAAACAGGGTACACGTCCACTTCCCTTCTACAGTGCATGGACACCTATCCTTGGAGCAGTAATGCCTCTCTTTCTCTCTATCTACACTCACTGCGTGTTATCCCAATTTAGCGGAAGAAAAATAATATATGGTTTATGGTTATATAGTAAAGGGTGTTGTTTGTATTTGGGATCAATGTTTGAGAAAAAAGTTATTCTCCAAAAATGGATTTTATTTAGTACGTCATAAACCTGTTTCATAGTCTAAATGTGGAAAAGAATTATTCTGTTCTGATCATAAACAGTACATATTATTTGGTATCACATGCAGTACTCCTATTTTTCTTTTATGTGCCCATCATGTGTGGTGATTAGTAAATGCTCTTCTGTGGCTTATACTACTATTTATGCAGATTGCAGGCCAAAATGTACTAGTCATTTTTTTATGTCCACCTCATCCTTCTAATAAAAACACCACCGCTGCCACTCATTTTTTTTTTGTCTATAAATTAGCTTTAGGCAGAACTGTATAATAAGTGGAGAGTGTAAAAAAATTTTGGGCACAGTGCAGTTGACTGGGATTTTATGAATCCACATGCTACCACATTCACAATTCTTTTCTCCTTTTCAAGAATTTCCTCTACCAGGATTCAGAGTCATGTGGGCACGTGTGCATGATATACATATATGCGAGGCTACACTTCCGTGTATTCAAACACATGTCTGCACGTGCATATGCACTTCTATCTAAATCCTTTTTTTTTTTGGTACAAAAATCTCTCTTATTTAGTAATATTAGGGTAAGAGAAAAAAAAAATTCTCTAGCAAAAACAATAAAGATGTGGTGATTTTTCTCTCTCTCTCCTAGAGAAATTATTTTTGTGGTGTTGCATGAGATTTATAATACCCATTAGTAATATAGATTATTTATAGGGGTTTGCATTTATCATTTAATATAATATAAAAAAAATTTCTACACACAATATTTTGTGGGACCCACATTTTTTCAAGCAAAAAAAAAATTACGACACGTAAAATGAATCTCTATAACATTACACAATCATTTTTCCTTATAAAACCCTTATTTATAACTGCTAATTGTAAAACTCTTCTTTTAAAACTAAAATGGGTTTCTCTTCTTTTTTCCTTTTTTCGATGCCCTAATTAACTTATAATTTTAAATACAAGGGAAATGGATCGTATGATGTGTAAAAAAACATGATATGGTCATGTGGAAAGATCACAACCATATAAAGGTAAATCAACGGTTATGATTTCGTAACTACCTATTTTATCATTTTTTTCTCTCTCTTCCTTTTTTACCATTGATCTACCTTTGTATGATTATGATTTTCCACGTGACATGGTCATGTAAATTTGGGTTCTTAAATTTCCTAAACTTATGAATAGGCCATTTCGTTTTTGTAAATTAAATAAAAGTTGTTCATCGTTTGACTTGTACCCGTTGACTAACAATCATGTTAATAATGTCTAATCTATTCATACTATTTTTTTAAAAAAAATTATTTTAATTTAAAATTATTTAATAATTTGATTTTATAGAACTATAAAAAATAAAAATAAAATATAAAATGTTTAGATTTTTAAGAGAAAAAAATGAGTAAATATGTTTTAAATTGGTAATCAACACATGTAAACCAAGGGATAATTGCTTTTAGTTTAATTAATGGGATTGACATGAAAGTCTGTTTATATATTTTTGCATGTTCAAAAAGTTCGTTTTAGTTTAAAATTTACGTGACTATTTTAAGACGAAGTAAAATTTAAGAAATGTCTATCCTTTTTTATATAAAAATTAAAATAACTGTTGACAATCAACCTCGACAATAAATGAATATTATCATTCGCAACATATGGGCATTGATTCTTATCTCTTAAAAGGTGTTTATGCACGTGATGATGGTCAAATAAGAGCAGCACTACGACATACTAATTAACTTGAAGACCATTTAAATAACGAAGGAAAAAACATAAGAAACACCCGCTAAATCTCATCCCTAGAGCCAAATAAACAGGAGATTGTATGCTTATAAGGGGTTCGTTATTTTCAAGTAATTTAGTGAATAATTTAGTTAGATGAATAACTAATTATATTGTTTTTAAGTGGTTTTAATTAGATAAATAATTAATAATCCATACTTTATAATTAATATAAATAAGGGTTCACTTTTTCTGCAGTTACTGCAGATAAGTTATCTGCAGTAAGCCCAATACGACGTCGTTTTGAGGCGGAAATCATGGTGTTTTTGTAATTTTAATTTATTTCAGGGTTATAATAGTCTTTATATTTATAATTTTTTAAGATTTCAATACCAAAATGACGTCGTTTTGGGAATAAATGCAGATAACTTATTTGCATATTAACTGCAGAAACATTTTTCCCTATAAGTAATTAATTTGACAATTGGTTAATAATATATGTTAGCCTATCATTAAGAGGTAGGGTAGTCCGACTCCAAATAAATCCATTAACACTTTTGAAAGAAAATCATAAAAAGAAGATGGAGTGTTAGATTATTTGAACTATATAATATATGAATCAAGATAAGATCAAGTTATCACAATCAAAGGGTGCTTCATCATATGCTTAAATTTTTAAGTTTGATTATCCTATTTTTATGTACAGAAAATCAACTAAAGATAGGTACCGCCCTACCAGTCATCAAGGTTGGTTGAGCCACCCGTCATTATATTAAAATTTGATACGAGAACCAAATGGTCAATGTTTGGTTAAAAACAATAGTAAAAAATGAAACCGAAATTATTTGATCCAACATGGAAAGCAGAATTAACGAAGCTTCCGTATTGATGAGGTTTGTACTTATTTTTCTTTATGGGTGAGGAAGGGATATGGGTTGGTGATTGACACTGAAACACAAGGGAGCAACCCTAAGAACCAAAAAAGCTTAAATAATGCAAATACCACTAACATTATATAGTATATATGTGCAATTTGCAAAGGCTACATGACTTGGCTAGAGACCACTGATTGACCACACGAGGGCCAATAATAATGCAAAATAAGGGTAAATAAAACTTTTAAAAGCCATGTGCATTTTTTTTTTTTTGCCTTCGATCGCTCATTATCAGTGGCCAGTGGGCAGTGCAACAAACAAATCTAATATCTAAGGCTAGTGTAAACATTATCAAACCTGTCCAAAGTGGAACTTCCCAATCGAGGGCATCATAATTTATTTATTTTTCTCTTGCTTTTGTTTTACTATTTCAACCAATTGTGTATGTGGTTGTGGCCTTGTGGGCACCTATCTAAATGCACCCCAGTTCAAATCCAGCTCATATATGTACACCATAACTTTACAATTGCTGATATGGGGCTTCTAGACAAGCTCTGGCACATGACTATCTCGAACCTAAGTCCCCTTTGAATAGGTCAGCTTCCATTAGCTGGTAATTGGTAATCAAAGCTACATTTTATTTTATTTTCATTTTTTACAAATATAAACCCACAGTTTGGTGTCCTTTTCTTAATTTCCTCAAATATTCACTATTCCCTGCAGTATGCACAGTGAATATTAATTAATGACAAGGAAGAACAAACATGTCACTTGTACTCAGAATTAGCAAGCCCTGATACCAACCATATAAAAATATGGGCTAGAATGTGTTTGGGACCGCTGGATGCCTACTCTTGGGCCTAATACCAGCTGGTCAATGGTCGAATTCATGCTTTAATAGTTTAATAATTAAAACCATCGATTTTTGTATGCATTATTCAAAAACAAAATATACTTCTGTTTATCATTCTTTTAGCTCTAAAAAGCACGAGTCGATTACATGCCCTTATCAAAAGGTCCTCTTTAATGAGTTCGAAAAATATCTACCCCGATTTGCAGCCAATTATACGATGAGCCCTTCGTTTGCATGCACGAGAGAAAATAAAAAGTAAATAGCATAATATATTTTCCCTTTATATATTGAATGAAGATAAAATATAAAAAAAAAATATAATTACGTAAAATGGAATATATATATATATATATATATATATATATATATATATATATATATATAAACTAATCATTTCTCAAGCTGGCGGAGATAAAGTTATCTCCGGCTACTAAATCATAACCGTACAAAGATGGATCCATGGTGATAAAAGAAGAGAGAGAAAAAAGAAATCATAACCATTCAAAAGTGAATCAATACATATAAGAAAATAAATAATCAAAATGACGTAGTTTTGAGGTGGCCGGAGATAAATTTATCTCAAGCAGCTTGAGAAATATTTTTCCCTATATATATATATAGGGTTTTATAAGAGTTATGTTGTAGGAAAAGTGATTGTGTTATGTTATAGAAATTCGTTTTACGTGCCGAAGTTTTTTTTTTTTTTTTTTGCTGCAGATCCCACAAAATATTGTGTGTGTAGGAAACTTTCTGTGGTCATGTTAAATGATAGATGATAAACTCATATATATATATATATATATATATATATATATATATATATATTCTTATTTTTGTATATAATGAGATATAAATTTATATCATTTTTATTGATATCGCTCTGTACACACTTTTTATGAATTCTGTAAATAAA